AGAATAAGAATAAGAAGAAGAAGAAGAAGAAGAAGAAGAAGAAGAAGAAGAAGAAGAAGAATGTTCACCCGAGGACCAATCTACCAGGTTATATAGCCTTGCCATGACTGTGAGATGGGGCGGTCAAGTGGCCTGCTTTATAGAAGATAATCATCTATTTGTCGAGTACAACTCCAGTTTAAAAATAAGGAACTAAAAGAACCATCAGCTTTTGCCACCTGATGAGCAGACTGATCATGCACACAAATTACCTGGTCATGGAGAAATTTTCCAAAGATACTAACACTGTGATGAGATTTATTGTGCTTCTATTTAAATTATATTACTTATTTCTAAATTTGTCTCTATTTCAATAAAATAGGACATGGATATTTTACATAAATCTCTGCTCTTTGTTGCCTTCTTTTCTTGGAGATGCATAGCCTGTTTCCTTGTGACATACAAGCAGCTATCCCAGGATTGTCTTATGTGGTAGAGAGATTTTCCAAAGATCCTAACATACAGCCAATATGTGATCTCCCTTTCAGTGCAAGAAACTGACCTCTTTAGGAGCCTCACTCTGGATAAATTCCTCATAGATTTTTTGGGCCTTTTCAGCCATTTTAGTAGGCATTTTTATTTTCTTATAGTCTTCACAAGCAATCCAGAATTCAATATTCTCCTCACTGAATTCAGACTGGAGGAAGCTCCAGAAGCTGGCAAGCCCATCTGCATAAAGAAATATTGGGAGAAAGTTCAGCATTTTGAATAACAGATTGACCAGGAGAGAGAGAGTCTTAATTCCCAAAGGTCTTGGCCACTGACTGTGTTTGAACCTGGTACTAAAGTGAGGTTTGTACCAGGGCTAGTCAGGACTCTGAGCATTCTATAAATGGCATGCTATAGCCAAGAAAGCCTTCCCCTTTGTTTCTGCATGGTGGATTGTTCTCCCTCAGGCAACACAGAGGAGGCCTTTCCCCCACAGGTCTTAATGGCTGGGCAAGTGTCCCCAGGGAGAAGTGTTCCCTCAAGCATCCAGCCCTCAAGCTTTTTATCATCAACACCCTGATCTGGGAATTGAAGCAAATTGGCACCCTGTGTAGTTCTTTCAAAACCAGTTGTGAAAGGTATTCCTGCCAACAGTCTAGCTGCTACATATTGCACTTGCTGAAGCATCCACATTGCCTTTAATTACATTACTTTTAATGTAAAGTAATTAAAAGCAATCATCAACATTTTCCTTCAACAAATGCTGTAAGTTCTCTGTTATGGATCTCTGTGCTTCATTATCCATATTTTGGAGGGTTGTTTGTGGACAGACAAAAATCTCAATTTATAAGTTCAGCCAATTAACACAATCTTTTTACTCCACACAACCACCACTGTGAATGCGATCTGGGGTGGTCCAGTTCACACATGAAGATATCCAAGGTGAGATGGAGTTTTTTGTGTCCTTTTGCCATGCTGCGTCAGAAATGTACCGTATCCCACACCCTAGACCAGACTTGGGCAATGTGCGGCCCTCCACATGTTGCTGAACTGCAAATCCCAACACTCCTCACTATTAGCTGTGTGGGCTAGGTCTGCCCTAGACCTTAGCTTCATTTGCTCCAGTTAAATTGCAGCAGGAATCCAACCGCTGCTCATATGATATTCATGTGTTATGCTTGCTTGAAACATACAGAGGGTTTTCTACTATATTTCCTTACTACAGACATTTGCTGTCTATGTACCTGGATGTCTGTGGTTTGAGGCACAATATCATAATGTGTGCAAAATACCACCACCAACAATAAACTATATTCAACAACTCATTGCCTCAAGGACTTTAAACAAATAGTTTAACCCATGCACACACTGCAAGTATTCTAAGATTGCTACGACAGGTGTGTCCTAGTAATAGTGTGAGAACTACCCAACAAACTTACAAGGATTTTGAAGGAGTTTCTCCAGAGAGTTGCGCCACTGCCAAGCCTCCTCTGCAGTAGGTCTGAAAAAATGACAGGAAAAACACACATGGAGAAAGAGTATTCCTAAAGTAAGTGAACAAAACACTGTGGCTAATAAGGTGGTCTCTTTTGTAAGCATGTTGATGCTCTCTTGAAGAAGGGTACATGGAAATAACTTTTTATTCAGCCCAATTCCTATGTATTAGAACAGCTTTGTTAGGGCAGGTTATTGTCCCCATATTGCAGAACGTGATGCCACTTCTGTGAGTAGAAGCAGTTCGTCTATGGGTCAAGCCAGGTATGGGGACTCGTGTTGTGGGACTCGCTGGCAACTCGGATTGGGGTTCCCCCCCCCCGGTGACTTAGACTCCATTCATGACTCAGAAATTAGTGGAGATGAATAGAAAATGTGAAATAAAAACCCAATTAAAAATATGTCTAAAAGGGCTAATGAAGTAGAGTTACAAAGTACAGTAGTATGGAGTCTAATAGGGGTTTGTTGCCACAAACAGTTCTCATACGTTGAAAGCCCCCATTGTGTGGGGGCACACAGAACGAGGAAATGTGACTTTGGACGACCACTCTCAGAATCCCCCAGGCTGAGTAGCCAGTGTCTATGCTGGCTGGGCAATTTTGGGATTCATTGTCCAAAAATGACCTTTCCAAATCCTAATGGCAGGAATGAAAAACGGGTTGCCCTCCGGATGTTGTCGGACTGCTGTTCACATGATCCCTCACTATTGGCTGTGCTACTAACTGGGACTGATGGGAGATGGAGTTGTAGTCCCAAAATGTCTGAGGGACTATAGTGAGGGATCACGTGAACAGCAGCCCAACAACCTGTTTTTGCAAATGTCCCCCTTAAGAAGAGGTATGCTTATAATATCTCCTGCTTGCCCATTTGAGAAATCAAGCAGACACAGGGTAGAGCAAAGTGGGGAACAATCCCTTTCCATCCATATCCCCTGAGTACTGTATTTCTGATTCTCAAAGTCTGAAAGTTGAACTCTTCCCAGCCTACCCCGGCTGGGACATAGCTTTGGAGTCTGCTTTTGTTCCTCCCACAGATCCATTCCCAGTTCCCACGCTCTCCTAAGGGATGCCGTGAATGATTCCCTTTGTCTCCAGTGAGGCAGGCCAGAGGGTTCTCACAGCAAAGGGGATAATAATTATCTGGTTTTATACAGAGCACAGAGGCTTGAAATTAAGCGATTAATTTAAGACCAAAACAGTTAAAGTGAAGTATATTGGGGGGGGGTGGCAATGCAGAAGGAGAAGGGAGGCAATTGAGACATACGAGTTCCTAGTCCAGTGAGTTTTTGTGCCCCAACGACCATTGCATACACCAGGGCGGTCCCAGGCAGAGACAAATGATATGGTACTCTCCAGATCTTTCAAACAACTCCACCATCAAGAGTAAAGGTCTAAGAAATGGCACATAGGTTTTGTGCTGGACAGGCTCTCATTCTTCTTGGGCAGACTGCTGGGCACACCATCTCTCCTCTTACTTTAAAGCATTACATCTATTAAAACATTTTTTTAAAAAAAATCTTTATGTGGACCAGTCACTGCACACACTGCCTTAAGAACTGCTGAACACTAAATTGCAATGGGACTAAATTGTAATAGAACCAGGTTTATGACTTCCCAAAATGAGACTTTACCAGGGCTCAAGCATGCCCAGAAGTGCTGCTTCCAATTCCAGATTTAAAAGGAGGAGCTGTAACCACTCCCTGATGAGAGAAAACTGTGAGGCATCCTTTGAGTTAGCACTACATGGCTTGGGGTCATAAGTTACATCATATTTGAGAGGCCCCATTGTTTGACTTAAAACATGTGTCAGATGTACAGGGTTCTTATAATCAGAGACTCTAAACTCTACTTTACTCAGTGTGTGCATAAATCCAGCACAGTTTTTAGTACTGCTGTTACTTTTACTGTTGAGTATTTGCATGACTTCTTCCTGGGCAGAGTCCAGACATTGTGAAGAAGGTCAGCCGTGGCTAAAACTCACCATTCAGATTAATAGCTGGATGCTTTATTTTTTCCCCTGAAAAACTTAGAAAGAAGAAACACGGGGTTGTTAGGTAAGTTGAGAGAAGGACCATTTTCATGCTTTGCATTAGTGACAGCTCAAGATTTAAAATACAACCTCTTGGAGGTTGTTGCCTTCTATACTACCTCTTAGGACTTGATCTGTATGCCTCAAACTTTGGAACTGAGGCTGACAGCAACATGGAACAAGCCTTTTATACCATTTTGGCACTGTATTGATGGCTCCCAAAGGAAAATGGCCAAAATATATATTTTTTTTCTGCTTCCCTTCCAAGGAGAAGGGTTTGACTGAATAGATAGCTCAATAAGCTGGCTGGATTGCTCAATGGGTTAGCACCTGGCTGTTGTGCCAGAGCTTGCAAGTTCCGGTTCCCCGCTGTGCATTCCCGGAAGAGCCAGCCTGTGCGGCCGTGGGCCAGCTGCACAGTCCCAGAGCACCCTCAGAAGAAGGGAATGGTAAGCCATTTCTGAGTACTCTACCTAGAAATCGAAGAAAGGAGTCACCATAAGTCAGAACTGACATGATGACATTATTATTATTCAAAAACCTTCCGTACTATGGTAATTGTTCTGTGTTGACTTTTCTTTCGCCACTTTTTCTAGTTCTTGCAATTTCAGTTCTGAAAACACTTGACTCTGGATGATAAACCTTCTCTGGTCCATTAATCGTTGTTCAGTTATGTCACTACTTGGGTGTTTCCTTTTCCAAATTTCCATCATTCTTTTTTGAAAACCATGTGCTGTTGTGTTTGCCTTATAATAACATTTAATAATTTCTTGATTTTCCGGGAGTCCCGAGTTTTGCATTTACATTGTTCCAGTAGCTTTCCAGCAGCCTGTCCTGGTTCCTCAACAGGGTCTGATGGGCTCTGTACCCCATTTGTCACCAGATGTCCAAGAGCTATAGCATCTGACCCAGTCCTTTTTGACCTGGGTGACGACCAATCCGGTATGGATTTCTGTTTATTTTCTCTCATCATAATTGATGGTTGGTGGACACAGTTGGTCAGGCTTCTCAGCTGAGACCTGACCTGTCTGGCTTGGGAGACTCTTCAGCATAGCTCTCAACTTCACTGAAGCGCACAAGCCCCTCTGGCTCAACAAGGCCTGTGGATGATGATGATGATGATTCAAAAACACCAGGCACAGTCAAAATTATAAAAACATTGACTGGTATTATATAACAGATACAAGTTTTAACCAAAAAGCTTAGATTAGGCATCTTTCAGTCTCGAGAGACTATGGTATCGTGCTCTACATGGAGGACTTGGAACAGCATCTAGTGTGGCTGAGAAGGCCAATTTGAGAGTGACAATCCCTTCCACTCTGAAGACAAATACAATCTGTCCCCTGTCCAGCTCCCTGATTTTGCTGCTTTTGTGACAGCCTCTTTGCTTCGGCCTGCTGGACAAGGGTCTCTTCAAATTGGGAGAGGCCGTGATGCAACACCTGCCTCCAGGCTGAGCGCTCAGATGTCAGGGTTTCCCATCTGTTGAGGTCCATTCCTAAGGCCTTCACGTCCCGCTTGCAGAGGTCCTTGTATCGTAGCTGTGGTCTCCCTCCTGGGCGTTTTCCCTGCACTAATTCTCCATACAGGAGATCTTTTGGAATCCAACCATCAGCCATTCTCACAACGTGCCCAAGCCAACATAGACGTATATTGATGCAGTATGTATGCTGATCCTAATATTGATGTTTTTTGTAGCTCTGATGGTGTGATTTCTGAGATCTGCAACTACTTATAGTACTGTATGAAATTTCTTGAAATTGTTCCCAAAGCCCTGATGACCACAGGGACCACTGAAGTGTGTTTCACCCACAAGCAAGATATTTTGATTGCCAGGTCTCGGTACTTAAGTTTTTCAAATTCTTTATTTTCAACTCTGGCATCCCTGGATGATGGTGGTGGTGGTGGTGGTGGTGATCATTATACTACCTGTGGACTTCTTTCATAATTATTATTGTTTTGTCGCATATATATATAGTAATCATCAATCACTCTGAGAGTACTGCATAAAGAAAAATGAGGATAAATAATAAATGAATTTCAAATAGTCCTCTCTTGCAGCCATAAAGCAATTAGGGGTTTTATATTTCATATTTTTATTTACCTGTTTGTAAGAGTTACATCTCCCTTTTCCTCAAAGAAGTTTAAGACAGAACATAGGGTTCTCCTCCTTGCCACTTTAACCTTGCAACAACTCTGTGAGGTAACATAAGGTAAAGGTAAAGGTTCCCCTTGACAATTTTTGTCCAGTCGTGTTCGACTCTAGGGGGCGGCGCTCATCCCGCTCTTCAAGCCATAGAGCCAGCGTTTTGTCCAAAGACAATCTTTCCGTGGTCACATGGCCAGTGTGATTTAGACGCGGAACGCTGTTTACCTTCCCACCGAGGTGGTCCCTATTTATCTACTCGCATTTGCATGCTTTCGAACTGCTAGGTTGGCGGGAGCTGGGACAAGCAACGGGTGCTCATTCCGTTGCGTGGATTCGATCTTACGACTGCCGGATCTTCTGACCCTGCAGCACAGGCTTCTGCGGTTTAGCCCACAGCGCCACCACGTCCCAGAGGAAATGTGACTGGACCAAGGTCTGCTGGATAGCTCAGACAGAGGTGTAGACATTTGGCTGCGAAATTAGGAGTTTGATTTCCCTTCCTGGTAGGGGCTGGGCTCTGTGGTGCAGAGAGTCCAGTTCTGCAGTTCTAAGATTATATTACTAATCAATGAGTTGCATAACTACAGTAAGTGGAAATCGGAGCCCGGGTCTCCTGCGTTCAGCACTTAATCCTGGTCTGTCTTGTTACTTCTCGATTTAATTGAATGGCCCACCTTTTTATGAGATGTGAACTAAGCTAGACAAATCATTTCTAGTTTCATTGACAAAGCTAGGATGCTTCACTCTGCCAATCAGAAAGGCACCTACACCTTGTATCCAGGGCTTTATATCTGCCCCGAACTCTTCAGCAGCCCAGGGTGGGATTTTGGGCAGAGCTTGGACCCATTCGCTTTTTTCCCCCCTTTTTTCACTACAAATCCCAGGATCCCTCAGACATCATGCTGGCTGGGGAATTTGGGAACTATAGTTTAATGAAGTCACTTGGGCAAACTGACTCTAAACACCGGATATGGTCTGGGAAAGAACATTCAGGCTTGAAAAGAATCTCAGCTTTCATTTTTAAAAGTCCTTTATCACTCATGTCTGCAAACCTATGCTTGACGGTTTGAGACCAACGCATGCTAACTTACCTCAAAACATGAAGAATGACTTGATATAATCTGGGTGCGATTCTAGTGATGAGCAATGGGGGGGGGGATTTAAATTACAACCCTCAGAAGCATACGGCCACTGTCACAGTTTCTGTACTGGCTTGGGAGCTTCTGTCCCAAAAGTAAAATTTCCTGTCTTTGGTAGAGTTTCACTAGCGCCTGGTCGACAATATCATAAACTAATTATTTTGGTTTTGTTCTATATAGAACTTATGTAGTATGAGTGTCAGTGTGCTTTTTTCTTTTTTACTTTTTTAGTATTTGGGGGTAAGATTTTTTCATAAAGGATTGTATCTAGGATTGTATTCAATGCCATTTACAAATTCTAATGTTTCTTACACTACTTCTGCTGTGAGAGCTAACGAGAGGATGTTATACCCTACAAGGTGACCTAAAAATAATTTAGATGATTAAACAGATAAGGAAATAGTGCTTTTAAAAATAAAATATGCAAGACTAAGAACTCATGCAAACTTTCTCAATTGGTATAATTTGTGTGTAGAACGATATTCCTGTGTATATTGGCAGAAACCACGATGTCACATATTACTTCCTTTTGCAAAACATTCCGTCCAGCAGGAACAGTGGAAAAGAGAGTGGGTTTCTTCCAGAAAACAAGAGGAGCATCTGCCTGACAAAATGAACTTTCCTGAGCTTCTGTTTACAAGACAAGAGGACAGAAGGTGTCACAGCAGTTCAGAAGCATTAAGCTGGCTAATTTGTTCAAAATGGCTCTCAAAAGAGACAGTGCATTTCTAATTTCATCTCCAAGGTCTTTAAACCAACAGCCTAGCTGATTGCAAGGTAATCTTCAGATCAGTTCATCTGCAGAGCCTCTTAAGTATAATTGGAAACAGATCCAAGGACAACGGGCCAGGAGAGGTTCCCCTCTCCCACTGAGGCCACTTTTTTCCCTGACAGAATCAAATGCTACTGGTGTTCATTTTGTTCCAGTTCCTGGAATATGATATGCCTTCAGAACAGATGGCGGACTGTTTTCTCACAGATTAAAATGACACTGACAAATGAGCTAGACCAACAAGCAAGCAGCGCTTTCTATGGAGCTCCAAAACAAATACAAATAACTATCCGTTTGAGTACTCATGCAAACTTTCACTCCACCTCTCTGCTTGCAGCCGATAACTTTTCAGTAATCATTTTCTCAGCGTGCATCCTATGAAAGTTTTCTAACCCTGCCAGTGTATCACTGAACGTAGTTTTACTGATGAAGGATAATCTCACAGAATCATGCAACATGCCCCCAAATTATGGAATTTGCTTTAAAATCATTTTCAGGCTCATTTCCTCCTTATTTTGTAAAGTGAATTCTCATATATCATTTGAGCACTTAATTTCCTGCTTAAACAGTCATGTTTAAATCCGAATCATTTTTATAAGCATGGTAGGAGCTAGATTAGTTTAATGGAGAATTTGGACAGAAGAGCCCTGAGGTGTCTCTCCACCTAACTTGCCCCACAATAGTCTTGTGAAAATAAAAGAGAATGAAAAAACAGCTGAAGTATATGTTATTAATATGTTATGAAGGAGCTAAAGTATACGCTATTGATAAATTGGCATAGAGGAGGGAGAAGGAAACTTCTTAACTGCTGAAAGTATGTGATTGTTACTGCAGAAGCATTTCTCCTTTCATATAGTCTGCAAATTAACTTGATTTGCTTTGCTTTGTAGTTGGTTTTGAGGAGTTAAACAGGATTTTGTTTACAACTCTGATATCTCAAGCACAGGAATCTGCCTAATCACGTATCTACAACATTCATGTGATTACTGCTCTAATTATGGGTAATGTATAGTTATTATAATGTATAGTTTAAGTTCATTTTCTCAGTTCATACCTATGAAAAAAGTAGTAACAATACAATTTACACATCTGCCGAAAAGAAAAGTAGCATTATTGACATGAACTGCTGGATAGCTCAGTAGTTTAGGCTGCGGAGCCAGCCGTTAAGAGTTCGATTCCCCACTGTGCCTCTTTGACAGGGCTGGACTCGGTGATCCATGGCGTCCCTTCCAGCTCTACAAACCTTATGTCTCAATATTCAGTTATGGGATCTTTATTCTGAGACTGACAAGTGAGCATGTCTTACAGATCTTACGTCACTATTGTATAATAGATTGAACTGAAAGAGCTCACCCTTGCCTTTAAAAATAATACTGTGAGAAACAGCTGTAAGTTAAAAGGAAAAACCAGAAAGGCGAAAGTGGGGAGTTGAGGGGGGGGGGATTCTGCTGCCGGTTGATCACTTTCAAAAGTATGTTTTCAGTGAACTACTGGTTAGGAACTTACTTCTGGGCCTTTGCTGGTTTCTCTGGCTTCTCTGGATAAGGGATGATCAGGTCAATAGATGATTCAGGCTTCTGGAGAAGCGTGCCCAACTTCGTCCTGATCTCCTTGGCTCTGGAGGGAGAGAGATGTTGAAAAACTACATGATTTCAATACCATTATGTTCAGTAAAATGGTAGGCTGAGAACAACACTTTGTTTGAACTTCAGTGCATTTAACAACAGCAAAATGAAAGATAGATTTCAGTCACTTTCCTGCTACATTCTAAAATTAGCATGATTTATCTCAGTTAAAGTGATTTAAAAGCACTTCACATCAACCTCATTTTAGTTGGTTTAATAAACATCTGTTGTCATTGCCCCATAAGTTGAATCCCATCCATTCTTTACTCCTGCTCTTCCCCTTCTCTAGTGTGAGGGTGGTAGCTATTTTTAAATAACTTTCCACTTAATGAGGAAAGTGTTTATTTGGCTAGCTAGCTGAGACATTTTCAAACATACATACACCATAACAAACGCATGTCAGGAAAAATCCAAGGCAACATACAATATAGAGTAAATATACTGTATAGAAGTTACACACAAAGAGTCATAAAAGTTAATTTACATTGGTATTCCTTTGAACCTCCTTTCCCAAAGTGTTCTTTTAATATTCTCAGGATGCTCCTTTGAAATTCCTTTTTCCAGATATACTTTTAATGTTCCTTTAGGAAGCAGCCTGAGTATTTTATTGTTTTTATCATACCTTCACTAAACCTGGGGGAAGGTATGTGCTCTTACATTCTCCAGTAAATGATGGTCTTCCCACAATTCTCTGAGAACACCATACTGGCTATCTTTATATTATACTAAATCCTAATATACATAGTTATCTTAAAGGTATAATGAGAGGGGATCTCCACAGAAGTGGTATGAAAGCATTATTTGCACACATAGTGCACATTTCTGCAAGACAGTGCATCTGTCTGTACATATGAAAATAATGAATAAATTTAGGGTTTCCCTTGCGTACCTATGTCCACATCCTGTACTGAAGCACACTATTATATCTCAGTGAAATATGTGACAACTTATGTGAGATATTTTCTTAGGCTGGTGTTGAAATTATGTGGAAACAGAGGATATAAAAGGGCAAATGGCAAAATATAGCAGTAGGATCCAAATAAGCATCCTGAATGGAGGCAATAGGTTTATGGGAAAGGCACAGATGATCTAATTTGCTTCATCACTAGGTTCCTGTAATACTGCTAAGCCATTGCTTTTCAGTAATCAGTTGGAAACATAAATAAGCCAGTGTTTTAACAGCATTTACTATAATGTTTTTCCCCCTGATGCAAGAATGGACGCCCCCTTCCTACCAAAATACTGCAATATAAACATATAATTCAGAAGTAAGGATGCAATCAGACAGCAATAAAAGATCTCGCGTCCAATCATGCTGGAAAGAGTCACTTCACATGGAGCAATCTCACTTAAAGTGACCTTTTTTCCATACAGGAATTGCTCTAGATTAGTTTGAAAAATGAGCAGCCCAGCCAGTGGATCAAAAAGATCCAGCTTGGATACAGTGTGTGTGTGTGTGTGGGGGGGGTTGGGCTGTTTTGCAATCTCCTGTATATCATGTGATTGCCAGAGAATAGCTTGCATTGGGTTGTGCCACAGGCAATTCAAAATGCAAGCTGTCTGATCATGCCAGGTCCAGTACTTACAGCAGGAAATACTCCTCTACAACAGCAGATAAGTTACTCTTTCTTCATTTGCCCTGAAGGGTTGCTTTCTGGAATGATAACTTACTGAAGTTACTAGGCTCTAAGGGGAGCCAAAGTGAACGTTCATTGATCTTTAAGTATAATTTCATAATTTTGCAACTGTGATCATAAAAAGACTCAGAAGATCTTAATTCACATCCCTGCTCCACTATGGAAACTCATTGTGTGGCACTGGGGGTAGCAATAGTAAACTAGTAATCTCTCACACCTCAAAAACTCTGTTAAGAACACAAGAAGAGCCCTGCTGGATCAGGCCAAGGTTCCATCTAGTCCCAGATTCCCATATTTCACGGTGGTCCCACCAGATGCCTCTGAGAGCACACGAGACAACTAGATCCCTGTCTCCTGAGACCCCTCCCCTGCATCTGGCATTTTGAGGTACCTTCCTTTGAAGCCTGGAAACTATACATCCCCATGATGGCTTGTAACCTGTGATGGACGTTTTCTCCAGAAATCTATCCAATCCCCTTTTAAAGGCATCTAGGCCAGATGCCATCACCACATCCTGTGGCAAGGAGCTCCATAGACTAACAACACGCTGGATAAAGAAATGTTTTCTTTTTTCTCTTTTCACTCTCCCAACACTCAATTGGAGTGGATGTCCCCTGGTTCTGGTATTGCGTGAGAGGGAAAAGAGCTTCCCTCTATCCACTTTATCCATCCCCTGCATAATTTTATATGTCTCAATCATGTTTCCCCTCAGGCGCCTTTTCTCTAGACCAAAGAGCCCCAAACTCTGTAGCCTTTCCTCATAAGGGAGGTGCCCCAGCCCAGCAATCATTTCAGTTGCTCTCTTCTGCACTTTTTCTAGTTCCATGATGTCTTTTTTGAGGTGTGGCAACCATAACTATAGGCAATACTCCAGGTGCAGCCTTACCAGCATTTTGCACAATGGCATTATAATGATGGCTGTTTTATTTTCAATCCTTTTTAATGATACCTAGCATGGAATTGGTCTTCTTCACTGAGGCCGCACACTGGGTTGACAATTTCATCGAGCTGTCCACCAGCACACCAAGATCTCTTTCCTGATCCATCACGGACAGTTCAGACCCCATTAACTGATAACTCAAGTTTTGATATTATTATTTTTTTGCCTCAATGTGCGTTACTTTACATTTTCTTATATTGAAATCCATTTGCCATTTTGCCGCCCATTCTCCCAGTTTGGAGAGATCCTTCTGGAGCTCTTCACAATCCCTTCTGGTCTTCACCACCCAGAAAAGTTTAGTGTCATTTGCAAAGTTCGCCACCTCACTGTTTATCCCTATCTCCAGGTGATTCATGAACAGATTGAAAAGCACCGGTCCCAGGACAGATCCCTTGAGGCACACCGCTTTTCACCTCTCTCCATTGTGAAAATTGCCCGTTGACACCTATTTCCTGGTTCTCTATTTCCTGGTTCTCAACCAACTCTCAGTCCATAAGAGGTCCTGCCCTTTTATCCCTTTTCTCAGCAGCCTTTGGTGAAGGACCGCGTCAAACGCCTTCTGAAAATCCAGA